TTCCTGCACGCTACAGAACGGTTCATAAAGATTTCATACCCTCCCCGGCCGGAATGCCCTAAAACTTGTGAAAGGCTTTCGGTGGCGAGTACGATCACGAGGCGGAACAAGAAATCGAGGCCCGCGATGTCTGCCCACTGGCATTGCTCCCTATTTTGCTGTATACTCTGCTTTCAAGACAAGTGTTTGTCGTTATTAACGTAATGGCTCTAAACCTTGAACCCTAACCCACCCCAGCTGAAGTAGTCATATCCTGTCGTCAGGCCCGATCTTCCGTGCGCGGGTACGGACGAATATGAGCTTCCAATAGGTAGACATTGAAGTCGAACATGATCTTTCTATCACGTTCACATGGGGACACCAGAAACAGAAGGTGTAGCTTATGAAGGGGCCCTTGTCCTGAGTTCTGCATTCCAGTCCCCTCTTTTCTGAACTTCCGATGTTCCACGCCACGCATGCATGTCGCAGTTTCTCCCCCATACCATCTCGAATTGCACCCCTGCTTCCTGCCTGAGACCCCAGGGATGAGCCTACTGATATCGTCAATCACCGTTTACATCGGGTTTGGGGTAGTTTAGGGCCAGTTTGGAGCTTTAGGATTTAGGGTTTTAGGATTTTTACCTTAACCCTGAATAACCTACCTTTCTAGGGTTCCCTATTATGATTTCCTTATATAACTCCTCAGAAAGGTAGGTTCTTCAGGGTTAAGGTAGGGCTTAGGGTTGATGGTGTTGTCCTCGTTGAGGGCCGGAGGTCTCAAGGCAAGGGCGGGAGGCAATTCGGCCACTAGTGCACGACAAGTTCTTGCATGTCGAGCTCCCTGCGGGCACAGCTTGGAGATTCATGGGTAGTTATAAGTAGGGTTATAAGTCCCCCCCTAATGTGAGTCATAAGTATAGCTACCCTACTTATAACCCACTTCTAACTCCCCATGAACCTCCAAGAGCAGATGCAAGATGCCCTTTCAAGCATTTTCTCGCAACTGTCGAAAAGATCCTAAACCCTTATAAACCCGAAACTTAGAAACCCCGCACTCCCAAGCCCTTCCCAAGCATGTGCAGGCGCTGGGCGTCACGAAGCAAAAAGTTCTCGATGAATGTCGGCAGTGCGGAGCTTACCTTTATCTGAGCTCTGCAGTACCACACTTTAATACTTTCAAGTTCTTGTTTCTTAAAGGAGCCGAACTCTGTGTGATTTTCTTTCTGGCTACTTCGCTGTACTTGTAGCATTGTAGCATAACATCATGTGATGACCTTAGGAGTCCGAGGCGCGCACTCAACCGTCTACACCCTAAGTTCTACACCTCAAGCCCTTGGAGCCCGAAGCACTACTTGGAGGTTCAGGGGTAATTATAGAGAGCAGGTTCTTCTGTAATTATAAGTAGGGTTATAAGTCCCCTAATTAGCGTTATAAGTATAGTTACCCTATAGTTATAACCCTATTTAGAACTACCCATGAATCTCCAAGTACACCTTATCAGCCCTTAACGCCAATCTTTCTGGAGTTCAGGCCTGCACAGGCTCCTCTTTGCTGAAGATCCCACTTACTTGGCGCTGTCCAAGCCCATACTAATGCTGAAGCCTCCCTCCTTGCGCATGTCATAGTTCTCTAAATGGGTCTCTTGCTAGGTCACCAAAATAGTACGTACGGCTTAAAACAAGGACCCTAGAAGGGACCCTCATATGCTGAAGCCCCTCCTCCGTACACGTGTCGCATCGTTCTGGTTTACATAGAGTTCTAGGAATTCAGGACTGTTTTCAGGTTTTAGGAATATATGCTGAAACGACACAGAGTTGTTACAGTTGTTAGAAGACTGGAGCAGGATATTGGGTGTGTTTGTCAGGGGTTGCATTCGCGAGCACAGCCACCCACAAGCAGTGAAAAGAAGGACCGGCCAATAGCAACTTAGGTCCTAATCGTAACAGAAAGGGAAACCAGGTAGGCCCCCGCATTCGTGTTTCAAGTGTCATAAAGCCTGTCTTGTCTACTCTCATCCTTGCATACCTGCCGGTATGATTACAGAAACACTGTTTTAAAACATCCGCTTTGTTTTAAAGCAGTCCTGTCTTCCTGCCGGACATACGACCATCGAGGCACAATAGTAATCTCCACAAACCAAAAGAACCAAAAGAACTAAAAAAACTAAAAAAACCAAAAAACCAAAAAAAACAAACAAACCAAAAAAACCAAAAACCAAAAAAACCAAAAATCTGGGGGACTAGTCTCCTGGAGAATTGGTTTTTTTGGTTTTTGGTTTTTTTGGTTTTTTTGGTTTTTTTGGTTTTTTTGGTTTCTGCTGCAGGTACCGCGCTCAGTGTTGCCAGTGCCGCCTTACTCCTTGGCCGCACATATTCCGGGTTACTTTTCTTTGTCTGTGCGTGTGAAAGCCAACACATGCAGCGTGAAACACACTGTATCGTACTCTATGTGTGTATGCGTGCCTGGTACACTCCCAGAAATCGGTTGGACACCACGCCGTGCTGTCGAGTAAGCTCGCACTGGTACACGGCTGTACAAATGTATTCCTGCATAACGCTGGAACGTTGGAAAGAGAAAAAAGGCTTCTGGTGCCGATGATGCCTGCCTGCAGCCTGCGACCCTGGTGCTCATGATGTTTGACTGTGATCCGTCATTTCCATGTCAAACTCGCCGTATTGAATTGCTCGCAAAGTTGCTTTCTCGAAGTCTGCAGTTCTCGTGTAGTTAGCTTTCCCTCTAGTCCTCGCCATGGCCGGTGAAGATCTTTCTTTCGACGATCTCCAGAAGACCGTTGAACCATTGGTGTGTAAGAATCTGACTACACCTGCCATCCTGAAGTTGCCCCTCGGCTTGTTCACCCCGGCTGCACTACCGTTGCAGGAAATGTCGTCCACGGACAACCCTAGCGTCAACCTCTTTGACATCATCACAGACTACCGGGGGACTATTGATGTCAACGATCTGACGAAGGCATACAAAACCGCTGTCTTGAACTCCGATTTGTCTTCGCTACCGGAGCCCTTTGGGTTTCGCGGTATTCTTGCTCGCAACACCAAGCTTCAGTTGTTCGTGTGCGAGTGTCCAGATGGCTCCAACATTATCGTCAAGCATTTCACGTGTCCGGACAAGTGCAAGCCCTCTGTCTTCTTGGCAGGAGCAAGTGGCAAGGCTTACATCTACCGTTGGCGAGCCACCCATGCCAAGGTCGGAAAGAAAATCCTTCAGTATACTTTGGAAAGCCTTGGCGGTCAGCAGTTCAAAATGTTCGAGATGCAATCCTTCTGCGCCCCCAAAGCCTCCACCAACAGATTCGAGGATAAGACGGATGAAGAAATCGATGCCGGTTTCGACTTCATTGTCCATGATGCACCGCGCTCCTCTTCAGAAATGCAGCAGCTTCGGTGGATGACAAAAACCCTCAAAAATCCACAATCGCCTCTCTTCAACTGGCCCGGTGCACTTGTTGAGAAGGCGCTCCGGAACCTGAGCCAAGATGGCTCACTCGCCAAGAAGGAGATGGACTGGCCCATCCCCCTTACGTCCACCTATTACCATGGATGGGTCTTGGAGCTTCTGGAGAAGGTGTGGGATTTCGACACGTCCGCCCTCGTGATGTTGGGTGAGGCGGGTGCGGGCAAGTCACCACTGGGTCGCAGCATCTTGATGGCACAGGCCCGGTTTAACAAGGCGCACTTTGGTGCCCGCACCACCGTGTGCATTCGCTGTACGCCTGAAATTGATTTTCTCAGAGGAGAGCAAGGTAATATCACAATGGGTGACTTTCTGGATGACACATGTCTCAGCATCCTCTCTTCCAAAATGCTGAAGTCTCTGTTGGACGTGGGGCTCTACGAGGCCATGGCATGGGCTCGTTGGGGAGCTGTCAAGTGGGTACAGAATCAGCCACGAGCGGTGGCCGACAATACCTACGAGCCCATGGAACTTCCCGACGAATTCGATTTCGTCTCATCCATCTCTTTCGACAAGTTCGCGAAGTGTATCCGTCCAGCCTTCAATTCCGAAGTTTCGAAGGCACATATGGACGCTATCTTCAAGCGCACTGTCTTCCTGGTGAACAGTCCCACACATGTCTACTTCCGCAAGGCCGGCATCAACGAGGATCCTGTCCCCCGTGTAAACATAGAGCGCCCTGAATATCTCACCGAAAAGGGGCGCACCCTCTACGGCACCTTCAAGGACGGCACCCGGGCCTTCCCCCCCGACCATGCCGCACAGGTTCGTCGTGAACAAGACTGGGTGACCAAGGTTATGGAGAAGCGCTTCGATGAGAGGCGTCCCGACTACAAAGCTCGACAGGCCATCCGTCGTGGTCTCTGGGGTCCAGAACCTGCATCATCCCGCTCCCGGCCCATCTATCGTCAGGTTGATGATCTTCACAAGTCATCTACAAGGGATGCGGTCGCCGCTGCCCCCATCATCAAACGCGAGCGGGTGGAGCAAGAGGAAGCCAGCAAGAAGGCAAAGATTTGGGCCTTGGAGTTGAAAGCTTCCAACAGCGCCATCGATCTCGACTCCCCCGACCGCACGAAGGCAGCTCTCCCGTCTACCGCCGTGCCCAACCCCGAGAACATGATCAGTGACGACATGGATGTTGTCACTGAGGATGAGGCGGATGTCCTGGGCAATGGCTTCGACCTCGGTGAGCACGACAACTGAGCTTTGCTGAGGTATCGCGTAGTTTTGTCACTGCCGTCATGCTATGCCCTGGCCCTCTCTTCAAAAGAAGACCCTCTAGAATAAATCGGTAATGCTCATGATGGCAAAACATTGCTCCGTAGCCGCGTAGTCGCACATGATGGGGGCCCGACAAATTTTGGTAGACCGCATCCTCAGTCAGACCCTGCTTCCTGCGTGCGTGCACATAGGGCAAAAGGACGTCCTTGTCTGCATGTCTGCTGTCTCGCTCGTGCCTGGCCTCATCAAATGTTGCATATACAGCCGTGTCCAAACATCGCGTGTTGTAGTCGAACTAGCCGCCCGCTGTACTTCTTGCTTCAGCCATGGTGAAGGTCGCACGTGCTTTTCCTCGCCGCACGTGTCCTAGTTGCTCTGGGTCACTCGTCAAGACCATCACGGGCCCTCGCGACGTCAGCAAGGGCGTCCTCATCGGGAGTGAATCTTTATCCAAGACGAGCACTCGTGTCAGTCGTTGTGTCCGAAAGGGCTGTCGGGTTTACGTTCGTCACAACTACATGCGGATCGCCGGAGAAAAGATCAACGTTCTCTCCTTCAATCAAATGAAAGCAGCTGGTGTGTATTTCGTGACCACCAAGACAGCATTCACCATGTCCTACCTCGAACTTTGCTATCTTCGTCTTCTTCGCGCGAAAACATCCCCAGGACAGGAGGCTGCGGTCCGAGTTCTTCTTCATCAAGGACATGACGATCTTCCAGATCATCGAACCTTCCGTGATTGCCTTTTGCGTGCTCTCGAGGCTTATGCTGTGGCGAAGCGAACACCTGACCAGGTTGTCTCCTTCAACGTCGACTATCCGGCCAAGGAGGTAGTCCGACTTAGCCGCAGTCAGCCTTTGCTTTTCCATCCCATGAACGGCGTGCGAGAGGTGGCCATGGATGGGAATTTCGGCTTGCATCGTCATCTTCTTCCAGGTGTCGACCCTCCCCGGACCAAGCAATTGCCAGGACGACCACGGAAAGCTCTTCGTGAGGATGAGCGATCGTGTAGCTGTGCCAGAAAGGATTCTCTCCACTTGGCACTGCCACAGCGGACTGCGGGATGGCAGTTCGCAGTGGACCCTTCGTCCAGAAAGGTCTTGGCGGCTTTGGAGCACAAAGCCAGTGAGTCTCATGGAGACAAGGTTCGCTTGTTGCATGGACTTTTTGCAGATCCGCAATGTGTTCCTGACGTCCTGATCCATGACGACGCGTGTCACTTGGAGGCCTATGTCCGGAAGCATCATCCTGACAGTTTCCCTAGTGTCAAACACTTCATAGTGGATGCCTTTCACCGCCGCAACCACAAATGCAGCAAGCGGGAATTGACCGTGTCGCAGAAGCGACGCTGCAACAGGGTCCGGACAAACATGTCCGAAAGCTTCAATGCTTGGATCCGCGCCCTGAATTTTTTCGTCAATTCGCTTCGGCCCCACAGCCATGCATTCTGGATTGAGGAAGCCTGCCTGTTTTATAACACGAATCTTGCTCCTCTGCCCACATTCGTAGCACGACCGCGGGGACGCCGCAATGTCAAGGCTCGCATGATGAAGAAGCCTGCCGCCATTCGCAAGCGGCCAAGCAGCCGTAGGTAGGAGCTACCGTGTTTGGAACGCCGGCAAGACTGCCAAATTTTGATGTTCTGGACTGCTGCGAGAACCCCGAGAGAGCTCATGATGCGATCACGCGGAAAACCACGGTGTGTGCGTGCATGCCCTACATGCTAGCATGTGTATCATGAAGTCTGCACGGTTACGTACCTTTGAACATGTACCTTTCCACGTGTGCACTTCTACAGCTCAAGTGTTTCAGTACTGAGTAGTCTGCTTGCTCCTATGGCCTCGCTCCCGGTCGTTGGACATGTGCGTTCGGCTGGTCGTGGTAAGGTGCTGCTAGAACTGCAGCCAGTGCAGGAGCCTTCCACCAGCTCCTCTACCCAGACGAAGCCACCGAATGCTAAGCAGCTGCTCCGTGATATTCAAAGTAAAGTACAGTTTGTGGATCCCTCCAGAGAGAATCTCACAACGCGAGCCCTGCAGATGCAGATTAGCAACATACAGCGACAGCTCCGTCTTGAGACTTCCGCTACGGGTGGATGGTCTGCAAAAGCTACGGTGTTGTTAAACAACTGGTTGGCCAAGCCATGTCGTAGCAGAGCTGCAAGTACACTCGCCATCGCAGACACCAGCGTGAAAGCAGATGAAACCCCAAAGAGTTCGGCTCCGCGATCGCGTTCCTCATCGTCATCATCATCAACCTCTCCTGAGCCGGTCAAAGTCCAGCACAGGCGTAAGCGTGCACGCACGAGGTCTCCTGTTGCGCTGCTTGAACATATCGTAGAACTAGAGGCTGTCATAGGCCGAGCTCAGGACGTAGAAGAGCAGAATGCTTTGCTCAGCCATGAAGTAGACCGCCTCAAAGGCATTCTTGAATCACGAGGTCTAGGGCACCTGGTGTAGTAGCATGTCAACTTCTCTGCGTTTGTTTCACCAAGGGAGCGAAGGGGAGCGAGTTCCATGTCACTTGAAACAGCCAAGAGGGGGCCTACCGGGTTTCCCCTTCCCAATCGTAAACGGTCTTGGATTTCGGACTACATAGAAGAGGGTACACAGAGCTTCCGGCATGATCCCATCTGGCTTATCGAAACTTGGCTGGGTTGTTGCTACTGTAGGGAATTTGAGTTACCATAATGGGGGTCATTAGGGCTCTATAGTGCGCAATATGTTTTCCTCAGTATGGTAACTTAAATTGTACCATTTTCCTAGCAAGAACCCAGTTGGTACCCCGCCAATGTTAGCTGAGATCTCAGCAGAATCCTCGATCTTCCATGAAGCTCAAGAAAGCCGGGAACAAGCTTGCAGTCAGAAGCCACGCGCCCGAAAACCCACCTAAACCCTGAGCCTTGAACCCAGAAAATCGTAACCCTGCAGCCATCCGCAACCTTAACTTCCAGAAGCCCAAGTTGACCAGGCATATGGGCATGCCGGGTAAGTCGCCACTTCTCCTCAGCATGCACCTCGCTCAGAGCGAGCTTCGGGGTCAAGGTGTTCGGGGCCTTTAGGTCATAACAAACGCAGAATAAGGAACCCCACGAATGAATAGTATTGGTACTTGGTACATATTCAGGCTTCTGTTTTGGGTGCACTTATCGCGGGTTGAGGCTTTCCAGCTTATAGTTTAGGACTTTGGGGTTGTGAGGCTCATGGTCTGGAGTGCATTCACGCGGTGTCAATCACTGGGCCAATCAGCCCGAATTACATGCTGAACTCGGGACATTAAAACACCCCAAAGATCCATGGATGCCGTTCCATACGAGCCTAACAACTCCAAACCGGAACCCTACGAACACCCGATAAGCCCCGAGGCCCGAAACCTACACGTCCTACACCCTAAATCCCTAGATCCTAAACCCCGAACCTTAAACCCTGAATCTTAAGTCAAATGATAGTAAATCCAAAACCCTAAAGCCTACACCACCAGACGCGACAGCAGAATCCTCAAACCGGAACTTTTTCAAACCCTAAACCCCAATCCCTGAACCGGGGATCCTCCCAAAACACCATTGATACTTGAGGTTGGGTGTGGCTTTGTCGCCCGGGTCGCGATTGTGACCCGCATTCTGCGCATGGCTTGCCATTGCTGTTCTGCTATATCGGAACACTCCATGGTTAGGCAGTGTGAGGTTTCGTGACATTTTCAACGGGAAAATGTGCTAGTTTTGCTTGGCTTCCAAGAGCTTCAGGAGTTGGGGCTTCTGAGCATCCTCTAGTTACTCTAGCTAGTGTTTGAGGGGTTTGCGGTGTTGGTGTGGGGTCCTGGGCCTTGGGTGTAGCATTTAGGGAAGTGCTTGTAGCGGGATTTTCGGCCTTAATCCCAAAACCCTGCCCTACATGCACCAGCATTGCATGATGAGTTTCCTCATCTTCGCAAACCTCAGGGCAGGCTGGGGAATTTCAGGGCCGGAAGCGCTGCGTGTCAAAGATTGAAGGTAGCAGGGGCCAGATACTTTGCTGAGTCCTCGGTCCTGTCACAGGAGGAAGTTGCGGGAAAGTCTCCTGATTCTGTATTCAGGTCCGGTGTTGCGTCGGTGTTTTGATCCATCGTTGTCATTAGGAATGGTCTTGGACTGTAGTTTTACCCAGGGTGATAACATAATATAGCCTGAATGACGCGAATTTGGAGAATTGGAGAACTACCCATGTATTCGTCACCTCCTCGGCGACCCGTTTTGCGGAACGGCGTCTGCATCTCTTTCTAGATTTTGGGGTCGCCGACCACCGGTTTTGGGGAGCGGCAGGTACTTGAAGAAGACTGACCAGGGTCTGAAGCACTTCTTGGCGCAGCAGCCGACTCAGACACTTTAGGTGTAGGGGTTTAGGGTTTAGGGGTTTAGGTTTTGAGGTTTAGGGGTTTAGGGTTTAGGTTTGGGGTGTAGGGGTTTAGGCCTGAGGCAAAAAAATCGTAAGCCCCGGTTCAAGCAAGTAGTAGTGATTATAGGACTATAGTATGTAGTAGCAGAGCAAGCAGCAAGAACAGCACCAGCACCCTTCACCCCCAAAGGCTTGAACCTCTATCTATCTCTCTGTCTCACTGTCTGTCTCTGTGTCTTGTCTCTGGCTCTCTCGCAACTCTCAACCGCTAGCCTGCCATCCTGAGCCTATATTTGGGTTTCAGTGTTTGGGTTCTGGGGTCTACGGTTTGAGGTTCCCAAAGAAGCGGAGAGGCAAGACTTCTGTGAGCTCGGAATTGCCACGTCAACGGTTATCCCATCACCTGTCAGCATATTCAGATCAAGGAACAACGCCAAAGACCATCCGAAACCTATCCTGTTTAGCATTCGTGTGTGTCTGTGCATGCTTATAGTCATGCATGTGCGTGTGCATGTGCATCTAACCATCATGCGTATGTTCTTATGTTTGCAAGTGTATGGACATGTGTATATATATATATATATATATATGCCCGCATACACATACACACACATATATATATATATATATATATATATATGTATATATATATATATATATATATATATATATATATATATATATACATATATATATATACATATATATATATATATATATATATATGTATATATGTGTATATATATGTATATATGTAAAGGCATATATCTCATACATATGTATATATATATATATATATATATATGCATGTACATATATATATATATATATGTACATACTACGTTTATTCATCTAATTATTTGTTCATGTGCATATATACATACGCACACGCACACGCACATGCACATTTTGCCAGTGCACCTGGAATAAAGACACCCTCCGCCCGAGAGCCCTGACGTGCACTGTCTGAACAACAAACAACAGAGAGCCCGAGGCACCCACAAGAGTTTTACGTGGATGGGTCCAAGGGACGCGAGGTGATCACGTATCTCGGCTGTGGATGGCACTTCAAGTTTTGAAGGTCCGTAGCTATTAAGGTAGTCGGTTGTGGATCCTTGCGGCCTGCACATGCATTTCTCGGAGTCTGCCTCTGCTTGTGTGTTTAGGTCATCAATATCATTCATTCTTTCTCCCTTTCCGTATGAATATGAACATACATAGTTAAATTGGAATGTAAACAGAGAAATATCAATGATATCAATGAACATATGAACAAAACATATTTATATATATATATATATATATATCAGTGAGTGTATGTGTGCTTGAGTGTGCATGTCGGTGTCTCCATGCACGTGAGTGTGTGTGTGTGTGTGTATGTATGTATGTATGTGTGTGGAGGTTGTCTGTTCATGTAGTCAGTCATTTCACGTACTTGCTCTCGGATACAGCGTTTCAGCAATAGTTTCCGGATGCAGATTAGGTTGCAGTGTGGTTGGCTTCGCAGGTCTAAGGCTCATCACGTCATGAGAGCTGCAGTGAGAGCCGGCCCGACAAACACCCAAACCATGGAACAGCCTAAGCCCGAGAGTGCATGGAAGCTCTGGCACTCTGAGATCGGCCACATCGACACCCGAAGTGCCGAAGATTAAGACCCGACATCTTTGACATCAGCAGCGGGTCAAAGATGGAAGCCTACATATGTCATCAGTAGCATCTAGTGCAGTTCTTAAGAGTAGGCCGCAGTATGCAAAGCCTGGACCATCCCGTTCAATCTCTTCACACGAATTTGTTGACTGAAGACGACGTAAATCCTAAACCTTAAGCCTCAAGGCCCAAAGCCAAACAAAGTCCTGAACCCTTGACCACCTAAGACGTAAACTGATGATGCAAGGTATCTCCGGGCACCTGGGAATAAGCTCGGTCTTGCCGCTTGCATCTCAGATGTTGAGTTGCCTTTGTGTCGGCTATATGTTTCCGTACCGATAGGGGGCCCCTCGTATAGACCCGTACTAGGATGCTTTTCATGAGTACAATACACAATTCCTGAGGGTGCTTTACAAGAGTTATGGTACGGCACATTAGACCCCCAAACACTGGCCCCGATGATTATCAGGACCTCAATCAAGCCACTCTATAGTTTTCTCGAGAGACTCCTTTTTAGCTACGGTATTCTGGTTGTCATGCTTCCTTGCCGCTCGTAATGCTGACCCTGCATAGAGAAACCCTTACGAAGCACGGGGTGTTAATTAGGGACCCACATGATCCTAGGCTCATAGACCCCAAACCTACAGACCCTGAGCCTAAGTGCTCATGCCATGCTTGGATTAACAGTTTCTGAGGTGCAAGGACCGAACTGGTACAGTAGTGTTGATTGCTCTACTCCGGCTACTTCCAAGATAGTCGTTGGTGTAGATTGCTACGTATCTGCGGTAGGCTATTCCGTGTGTCAGAAGATTAAACGAAGCCTAGGCTGGTGACAGCACAGGTTCCCTCAACAAGGCCCTGATTTTGGAACAGTCCCGATATCCGAATAGAACATAACTAAACCATGTAACGTGACGCTCCCAATTGCGCCCTCAACATTCGTATCAAGGGCCTTTGAATATTTGACTTCTCTTTGTGGGAGTATTTTTGAAGGACCCTGCTTCTTGGGGTCCATGTTGACCTCTTTCAATCTGCTCGGATTAAATCACAGATTTTACTTCAGTCGACTGTATTGTGCCATATGGTACAATGCGCGTGTATTTCGAACGCTCGGTCACTGACAGGAAGCCTACTCGCCGTAAGGCCTGAAGCCAAGCCCCCACTCACATGAGAGCCTAAGCTACTTGGAGGTTCATGGGTAGTTATAAGTGGGGCTATAAGTAGGGTAACTATACTTATAACCCTACTTATAACTACCCATGAACCTCCAAGTACAGCACGACAGCCGCAAGACCAAAAGCCCAAGCTTAAATAAGAAAGCGACCTGCAGCCACAAGTCAGTGATACTATACTTGGCTGCAGCAACTGCTTATGATCCCTAAACCCTAAACCCTAAACCCTAAACCCTAAACCCTAAACCCTAAGCAAAATACCCCGAAAGCCTTCTTTCAGTTGGTAAGGCCCCCTGTGTTAGCCCCCTCAAGCCTTAGCAGGACCTCCCTTATAATGAGGACCCTCCACACGAGGGTAGGATATTTTGTAGTCTACAGACGCTAAAATTGGAGCCTCATAACAAGGAGTCCATAAATAAGGTACCCTTAATTAAGGAATATACCTTAAGTTATAGTAGGATCCCTATAAAATTAAGGGCTAATTCCTCAATTAAGGGAAAATGGAGTCTCTGGGTATCCCAAAACCCGGCCCAGGAGTTTGCCGTCGACCCAGCGCAGATTCCAGCGCGAGAGACTCAGAGTTCCCTTCTTGGGCGCTTCGGACGCGACAATTTTCAGTGGGGGGTTTAGGATTTACGGTTTAGGGCTTAAGGTTTAGGGCGTGTAGGGTTTAGGGTTTAGGTTTTCGGGTTTAGGGTCTCCAGTATCCCGCCTGCAGAGCTCTTATGTTTATGTAGGGGGCAGGGGGTAGACGGTGTTGGGTTCCAGTACCCAACCTGTGTACCTCTGCATGGGGCTACACTGATCCGTTGTGTGTCTGATAGTCAAGCACGTTTTGCCATTGGGTGTTGGGGCGGGGTAGGGTTCAGACTACATTACCGAACAAGTCTTAGGGTGCAATAATAACCTCAAACCATTGCACCATAAAACCATAAGCCTTAAACACATAAACCATGCACCCTGATTGCGTTTCAGCACGGCTTGTTCACCTTGAATCCTTCAAGCCGGCCCAATTTTAGCCCAATATCTGCTAAACCACACAGGGAGCTTCCTGTTGCAGGGTATCCGTGCCCCAGCACCGAAAACCCAGCCCCAGACCATAAAAGTCCTGCAGCATTAGCCTTACAAGCCCTGATTGCGGGAACCCTACGATGCCAGCAAAATTCGGTATGGTACATAGAGCTGTAGGCTATAATACAAGACTCACAAGCATATACACGATTCGCACATGCGTCTGTGTCTCTAATTAGTCTTACTATGCTCCCTGACCCCCGGGAGGATCCAGGATCCCCTAACTTGGGGCCCTATAATACTACTAAGGGTACTTTGTAGGAACCCCCATTAAGGGATCTACTTTTTTGGATCCTCCCCTCAGCCCTAAACCCTAAATCCCTATGGACCCCCTAAAGGGACCCTTAAAGGAACCCCCATTAAGGGATCTACTTTTTGGATCCTCCAAAGGGGGTCTGGGTAGGCATCATAAACCTTAAACCCCTTAACCCCGAAACCCTAAACCCTGAACCCCTAAACCCTAAGCTACCTTTCTCTGAACACGACGTGAGGTCAGCTGGACCGGTGCCCAAGGCGACCATGGAAGTTCCAAAGGCGGCATGTAGTGCAGGAACCCGATTAAGAAACCCTACGGGTTTAGGGGTTTAGGGTTTTAGGGTTTAGGGTTTAGTGCAGGAGCCTGATTAAGAAACCCTAAGGGTTTAGGGGTTTTAGGGTTTAGGGTTTAGTGCAGGAGCCTGATTAAGAAACCCTAAGGGTTTAGGGGTTTAGGGTTTAGGGTTTAGTGCAGGAGCCTGATTAAGAAACCCTAAGGGTTTAGGGGTTTAGGGTTTAGGGTTAGGGGTTTAGGGTTTAGGGTTTTAGGGTTTAGCGTAGGCACCTGATTAAGAAACCCTGGGCCTATAACCCCCAAAATAGTAGGCTTCATATAAAGAACCCTAATGAAGGCCCAAGGCTTCTCAACCAGGTGCGATTGGCTGACTACGCGCGATTAAGTACAAAGTTAAACTCATAAACGTTCGGAGGTGTTCGGGGGTTTGTGTTTCGGATGATCTAGGGATGTATGGTCTTGAAAGTTAGCAAGTGGTAAGGAGCTTGGGGTGTAGGATAGAGGGTTTGAAGTTTGCAGGTTCTGGGTTGGCTTACTGTGGGTGCTGTACTGGATGTATCCGCTTAGGGTTATGGGTTTAGGGTTTAGGGTAGCCGTGCATGATACAGGTGTTGCTGCTTGTTAGATACTGGGAGGTTCAGGGTTAGTTATAAGTCGTGTTATAAGTCCCCTAATTGGGGCTATAAGTATAGTTACCCTAGATATAGCCATATTTTTAACTGCCCATGAACCTCTAAGAAGGTTGTGGTGGTGTTGGCGATGTGGGGTTGAGAGTCGCATGGTAGTACCGGGAGGAGTACGGTCCTTGTAAGCTAGGTTATATGTACTGTGGCTGGCGTTAATATGCAAGTATAGCTATGGTTATCTCATTTGTAAGCATTGTTTCCAAGGGTAACAGGAGGGACCCTCAATAAGGACCCCTAGGTATATACCTTTAATATAGCTATTATATACCCATTTTATAGCCCCATTATAGGGTAGGGGTCCCCATTTAGGGTCCCTCCTTTTCCCCTTTGACTGTTACTAACCTCCAGGATCTAGGGGATTAGAGCCCTTAGTGACAGCATTCAGCTGGTGCTGATCAAGCAAAAAGAAATGAAGCGGCCTGAATAATCGGAATTGAGTTTGAGGGTCTGTATTGTGATTATCATACGGAGCTCGAAGGAAGACATTTTTCTGCTGACTATGCAGGCCTCTATATCATGGAGTAATAAGGATCATTAGATAAACTGGTCGAGCGCATGAAGATGAGATGCTGATAGCGAAGAAAACTGCGATAACGAGGGAGGGCATACATTTACCTGACGACACCCTGTAGCAGGCTGCATGAGGCCTCATCCCGCAGAGTTTTGCATGGATTGCTGTTTCGTTGTTGTTGCTCACCCTTGCTTTGGATGAGGCTTTGCCATGAAAGTACGCCTCTACGTTGCAATGTTGTGACTAGGATCGCAAATGTTCGAAATGAAATACGAAAGCCGCCCCAAGCAAGAAAACGCATGGAAGACCAAATATACTCCTTCTCCAGGTGACGCTGCAGCTTCCCTCGAACGAGCCTGCGTGCGGATCTCTCTTTCTGGTATTTGGGGGGCTGTTGGCTCAAGGATGAGATTCGGACGGCCGTGCTTAAGGGCGATTTGCTGTGCATGGGAGCTCGGTTGAATTTAGAGCGCGGTCTTGAGGCCTTTCGTGTTGTGTACTTTGACGGTAGAAGGTTTCATCTGTGTGTCGGGGTGTTTCCGGGGCAACAACATCGACGGCAGAGAGTGTGGCTCCTCAAGTCAACGAAAGAAACGTTCGATTCCTTGGTCACGGTTTAAATCGAAGTACTTACATATGGGAGTTTCGCGGCAATATACGGGACCCCAACCCAGACTCTAAGTAGCTCTTCAACACTACTCTGCGCGGTTCGTGACTTGCGGTGTAGACGGATTCACGAATTAAGCATTTTGGGCAACAGCATCTCGTACCGGCCCTCTACAGGTTGGCTTGGTTGGAATCTTGCAGCATCACGCACCACCAGTTGAAGATACTGTCTTGAAGCCTAAATCCTGCAAGGCAGTTCGGGCTTATATGCTCAGGCGGAAAGTAAGCATGTCCGGAAAGATGGGTTCCAGTGTTTCGGAAAGAATAAGAACCTTAGTATATACCCTCAATAGTCGGATCCTTTTTGCATGGAGCGCCGGATCACCTCCCGGTTACGAGTCTTTAAGACAACCCCTGCATACCCACTCGTTGGAAGACGTTGAAGCAGATCGTTTGCAGCTTAGCCCAAACACAAAACCTAAACTGCTGTAACCCTGGAAGTCAGAGAGGCCAAACCCCGAAGCCTCACGAACAATTAAGCCAGAAGCCTTGTACGCGCCGCTAACTTCTCTACAACTTTAAAATATTCATCGTCAGCCGGCCGAAGCAGCTAGCAGCTAAGAAAGCTCTATCCGATTGTAGGTCGGAGTACATGCCAGCCGAATCACCGACCGGGCCTCACTTCCTCGAGTGGATTTGGGGTTTTGTATCATGTCTCAGCACTAAACGCTTTTAACTGGAGTGGTGAGGTGTTTGGGTGTAGGGCTCATGGGGGTTTTTGCGTCTTGCTTCGGGGGTTGAGGGATGTGTTTCGGGGTTTTCATTCAGGAGCCCTAGTTTTGGGTGCAGCAATACGGTAGGCCCAACAACTGAAAACATATCCCTACATTCGTGGCTTACGGCATGCTCCTCAACAACAGCCGACAAGCTGCTTAACAGTAGCCGAGGTATGGAGTTTAGTAGGGCTTGTGCTCCTGAAGCTCGTGTATGGGACTGTGGCTTCGAAACCCATGGTGTTGAGTTTGACTTTCTCAAGTGTTTCTGTTGTGCTTAGCTCAGGACTTGATGTTCATCTTCTAAATGAAGCCCTGGACAGACAAACGGTGTGAAGCAGTCTCTCAAGCCCTGCACCATCAAAGCCTAAAGTCAGAAGGCCGGGTGGGTTGCGAAAGGCCAACAGGGTTAACTAGATGTAGGACCCTTCTCGTATACAAAGCCTCGCCGCTCTATAACTTTTATTAGACGTTCCGATCCAACATCCAGATCTTCAGGGTTCTGTTTGAGCACTCGCAGGTCGAGGATATTTTCCTGATACTCCTCTTGCGAGCTCCTTGGGGCTGGAGAAGTTTCGGTAATGGCTGACGATCTCATTCTATTGAGATTCTGTGGACTGCGGGTGACGCTGTCCGTACCTTCGCTTAACTCCCTCAACCCCGAACCAGGGGTGTGAATTCCGCGACCTCCAAACTAAACTCGCCCAAGCCCATTCCCAAGGCCTTAATCGAAAAAGTCGACCAACCCGATGGCCCGAGCCCAAAACCCTGTAACCCCTTGCAGAACCGGTCAACAGACCCTCAAAGAAGCCTTTCTTAGCCTTTTTGGAGCCCGTACTAATGACACCAGCAGGTAGCCTTTAACAACCTTTTTGGGGGTACTCTGATAACAACCTTTTTGGTGGTACTCTGATCCCTTTGTAATCCCAACAAACCCCCAAAGATTTGATTTACCTTTGGTTTCCAGGAAAAACATGGGCAACCGCTACTTGCCCACTTCACCGCTGCCACCAGGGCCGGGGAGGGGTGACGGGCGGGGGCTGTGGGCGTAGAATTTAGAAGAAGTCAGGGTCTACCCATAGGCCCCATGGTAGTTCCTTTTATGTAGAATCCCATCAAGTAATCCCACAAAGGAACTACTATGGGGCCTATGGGTAGGGTGCAGACCTCGTTTGAAAATCAGCCCAGGGTCACTAGTTAAAAAGCTTGCCTTAAGGCTCCCGGACCCTTGTAGTGAGATCCCGGACCCTAGCCCCCAAAGCCGAAACCCTCCCCCAGAAAGCCCAGGACCCTCTTAGGAGCCTTAGGGTGGCACCGAAAAGAACTGTAGGGTTCAGGGTGTGGGGCGCAGAGCTCCGGGATTCGGGGTCGTCTCGGGTATACACGAGTTCCTCTTGTGGGTTTCCCTTGGTTAGTAAGGAATGGAAGAATGGTAGTAATAGTAGTTATAACTATACCCCATTCCTCCATTCCCTACTAAGCAAAGGTGAGTTGTGGGTTTCCCTGTTTACCTACTTCATATATCTTCTGATCCTACTCAAAACACTGCGATTGCCCACGAAGCCTCAGACCCTACATGACGTTACCGGCTACACCATCAAGTCGCACACGCTATCAAGCCCCATGACAATCCTCCTGGCAAAACCTGCAGATTGTCTTAAACCCAAAACCGCAAATACCACTAAACCCACAACCCTAAACCCTAAACCCACAAAAACCCTTAACTGTAACCTCCGGCACTCGGCCAGGTCCGTTGGAAGCAACTGTGGAAACTTGGGCACCCGCCGTGGCAACGCAAGTAACGGACCGGACCATGAATCGATGAATAGAACACATCTGTGTATTGGTAGTTTATATACACGCAGATAAAGATATCGATTTAAATCAAGATATAGGTATGTACACATATATATATATATATATAGATATGCATATTTACTTATTTGAATATTTTTATTTATGTGTTTATATAAGCAGTTAAATATTTCTAATTACATGTGCACAGTAAATCTTCAATTGAGCATACGGCATGTGATGCAGGCGTATAATGACGTTTCTATTATAGCTTAGGCAAGCCATATATACACACAGACGCACATGTCAACTGTGTAAGCAATCAGGCACACGAAGGTCAAGCATTCCTAATGATTCAGAGGGTGCGGTTTGCAGTTGAGTCTATGGCGTTCAGGTTCAGGGTTTAGGGTGTTTCTGCGCAGGGTTCAGCGTTTAGGAAGCTAGACAGCTTACATACCTGTAAACCTGTATTGAAATTGGGTAACTTGTCCCATGTTCGGGGTCCTATGTCACTAAGACCAGGTGACGACTAGTCTACCTGCTTAGACTAGTCTCTGCATGACGCTGCTGGTTAGGCGAAGTGAATGGCATGTAATGCCGGACAGTTCCAGCAGTTTGATGGCAACTGTTGGTGTGTTTCGGGAAACACATCACGATAGTGATGAGAAGATTCTGGCTCGTGAAGCATCAGACAGACGATCCCGATTCTTCATCACGGAGTTTGTGTCGGGTCCCACATAGGGTTTAAGGTTCATAGGGTCTTAAGAGTTTTTTAGGGCTCAAGCTGCAGAGCTTTGGTGCTAAGAGAATTGAAGCTTGGGTTTTTGGGCGTAGCACCTGTCTGCAGTTGAGCGTCTATGGTGTCCGGTGTTGAATGTCACCACACGGTGTGCAAGGCCGCTGTTCGACCCGTTGCTTAGAGGATTTAATCTAACCCTTGCTCTACCTAGAGGCTCCATAATAGTTTCTTTTTGGGGTTCGTATTTAGAATCCTAAAAGGTAATCCCGAAAAGGAACTACTTTGGAGCCTCTGGGTAGTGCGGTTCTTCGCCTGCAGGACCCGCCACCGGCAACCTCAGCGATTTGGGAGGCAGTTGAAAAACCGTGCACGCACAGCTGTTGCAAGCCGACAGGGACTCCTTGCATGAACACACACACACACATACTTACACATATACATCAAAATATAGAAAGTATATACATATATATATATATATGTATGGGTATGTATGTGTATACATATATACACCTGAATGTGCACATATATATATATATATATATACACATGCATAGAGATGTGTCAAATGCACATCTGCACACATGTGTGTATATATATATATATACACACACATATACACCCCTGCTCATGTAATCATTTGTGTATTTGCTTGTTGTCCGTTTATGCGGACAATGTAGGCATGAATATGACCCGTGGGTTCAACCTCAACATTCAAGTCTTGAAAGTTGGCCTCGCCCGTTTTTGTTACGGTTCGGAAGCCGGGGGGGGGGGCATGGGAATTTGAGGACTGCTGAGTTTGGATGAAGTTTCGAACAGACCCAGCAACACAGACATTTCCTGCTGCCGAAACTTGGCAATCTCAGCAGCATGAGACCTTAGGAGGATTGGGGTTTTGCGACGTCGGATTATTGTCTCGGCTTCTGAATCCTAACCAATACATCTAAGCTACTGGAAACCATGGGATACACCACCTACAGCCCCAACCCGACCAGTGCTTTTCAGGCAGGAACCTGGCCTGAAATATTTTGACATCATCCCCCCCCCCCAAATCAATAAGGTCCATGCAAAGCCCCGTGTCAATCGGGGTGCTTGGTGCTCTTGGTCAGTTTCCTACCTGGTATAAGAAATCCAAAGCCGCGGACGATACCCTACCTTGCAAGAGATCCTCTCATGGAAAGGCTTTCCCCCAACGCCCGGTTGGGATGACATGGCGGCTTGCCCAGCGACGGGTTTACGCGGATACACCGGAAACACCGTTTGGAGTTTAGGTGTTTCAGGGGCTGCCGTTGAGTGTTCTGGCAGGGCACTTCAGCAGCTGTAGTCGCGGCATTACTGTAAATCATGATGGCGCACCTTTCAGAGCGATGTACTGAATAGCCTCTGTAGCAACCCCATACTGACCCTACAGCATATGGGCCTTGAGCTGCTTTGCATCTTGTTTCATTACCTGCAGTCGCTGTTGGCCCTGAAGCCCTGAAAATTAAGCCCGAACTACACCCTCTACTTGAGCCCCATTACCCCCAATATACCCTTGAACCCAAAACCCCTACCCAATTAACCCCAAACCTCTAGCGCCCCAGCAAATCCTGAACCACGGCCCAGGTGCCGCCAGAGAGTCCCAAGGCTACAAACCTGCTCCCAACGGATCAGACACCCGTCTGTGGACCCCGGCACGCTTGACGGGGCTTCAAGAGAGCATCACCCATAGAGATGTAAAGGTGGTTCTGTCTAGGGTACGTTTAGCTCCTGGATTCATCTGAACTCGGCGGGATTCAGGCGATATCGACCTAAAGCCATAACTTTTCGTGGTTACGGACGCGTGGGGTCGGGGTGAAGGGATGGATCTAGGCCTCAGGGACACTAACCTCCACGCGTAGATCTTTGAGAGCACGGAAGAGTCTGCCATGTGTCAAGCGTCGGAGAGCTCATACTTAGGGTGGATAACATTAACATACCCAAATAATTACCAACATGCACGAGGGCTCCTTATCATAGCTGTACCTTTCTGTAGCTCAAAGCCCTCTTCTCATCTTAACCGCCCAGGACTTCAGAATCACGGTGCAGCCGCGAAACCTCGACAAACCCCTTCATTCATCAAATCCCAAAGGAGCAGGTATCTGGAGCCACAGCTCCAAATCCTAAGGTCAAACCGCTGCTCCTCTGTATCTAAATAGCGGCCAAGATGTGAGGTCTGAGCCCCATATATGAGTTGAGTTTATGTCAAGTTTCTGTCCTCAGGCAAGCGCTTCGAAGATTGTTTGGGTAGGGCTACACCCTGAACCCTATACTACCTAAACCTTGAACTCCAACTCCAAAGCCCCTACTCCCTGTAAGCTCCGTGTACTCCTGCACCGGGTACAAACCGTCAACCCGCTCAACTCTTGATGTCTTTTGCCCGAAACCACGAACGGATGCCGCACGCCTTGAACACTACGGAGCTGTAGATCCGGAACCCGCAAAAGAAGGGTCAGGGGCTCATTTCGGTCCAGGGGTTAGGGTTTTGGATTTTGGATGGTTCATTTTTTGCTTTAACAACGGTTCCAGGCGTTAGCTTAAAGGATTATAGCTTCAGGGTTTCAGGTGCTTTCGATTTGAAGGTCGTCTTTTCAACGCTGCGAAAGCCAGGCACCAATCATCCCGGCATGCAGACTCCAAGCGACTGGGGTGATTGCCCCAGCTTTAACAGCTCCAAGTGGGCTGAGGGGTTCAGAGTGTAGCATTCAGGTCTGTGGCTTTGGGGACGTTGATCTAGCGCTCTCAGTTTACAGTGCATGCGATACATGGTCTTCATGCGGGTCCGACGCTCAGACACAATTTGATGTCCTGTGGTGTACCTCAACCTTGTACTTTTCATTGGGATGCTTCCATCAGGAGAGATGGTCACAAGACCGCAGCGATCCCGGACATGACGTAAAATCGATTAGTGGTTTAGTGACGGTTTAGGGTTGAGGCGTTTAGGCTTTCAGGAGGCAGGATTTGGAGTTCAGGGTTGAGGGTAATTGAGGGTATAGGATGACGAGGGTCCCTGCCTCAGATGGCTTTCTGTGGAAGCTCCGGGAGAGCGCTTGTCGGATAGGAGCAGTCCGCAATGTTCTTCCCTCAGGTGCCTCAGGAGTCCTTTGTTATGCCTGAATCTAACCCGAAGACCGAAACTGCCCTATGCTCAATACAGCCAAGGGCACTGTCCAAGCTCGTAAGGTAAAAGGAACCGCCATAGGCTATAGTTTGTCATAACAAGCATAAGCGATGGCATAGGGCAGAGGTGGTCATGCGGATCATGGTAAAAGGCTGACCGGCTACTAGGTAGGTAATCTGTTTTCAGGAATATTGGGATTGGTACTGTGCAGTCCAAACTCCTTGCCATGGTGGCTCCAAACCCTAAATCCTAACCCCCAAAACCGTGAGCCATAGAGAGGCCCCGACAAAGGTCTTTAACCACATCGTGTAGGGTTCAGGGTCGAGGTTTGAGGGTCTATATTGTAGACAGGGTTTAGGATTTAGGGTTTAGGGTCTAGGGTTAGGCTAGTTCAGATTGTTTAGGCTTATCAGCGTTGGGCTTGCTTGCAGGTACGCCATGGGATAGCGTCAAGCCGTGGGATGTGCGCCATCCCGCCAAGTGCCCTGACTATGACCTTGGAGGGTGCCTAAGATCCGTAAGGCTTGACACAGAGGCCTGGCGAGTTCTTGATGATATCTCCCCTCAGTCCCTATTCTTCTTCAAAATTCCACCCCCGGGTTTGGGATTGCCACGTGTTCCGGTTGACATCTTCGGAAAACGGAAGCATCGGTCATCGGAAAGTTGATGAGACCTGGTTAGAGGTTTCAGGCTGTTGGCATTTTTTCCCGGGGCAGGGGTAAAGTCCCTCTTGAAACACAAATATGTATAGGACAGTCTGGCGTTGAAAGGCCCGTGTGTTACATTCACTTCGATTGTGGAGAGGCAGTGCGTGCACGTGTTGGTTTGTAAGATTCGATGCTCCCCGTTTTGCTGGTCTTTGTCATTTCCATAGCAGAGTTGAAGCGCATCCTAAATCGACCTTATGCCGTGAATGAATGCCTCACACAACCGACATACTAACCACTTTCAAACCGGCGAGTCATAAGCCTTCAAAGCCCAGATTCCTGCACACCCCGGTAATCTACAAGCCCTGCACCTAATCCTGATCCCTCAAGTTTACTTTACGGATATATCGGTTTACCCTAAGCTCTAGATGCAGCTGCCCTTGAACCCTGAAGCAAAACGGCCCTAGAAGGCTTCCACACAGAGAACTTTGTTGCAGGCTTGGCGGTCAAGCCGACTTGAACAACATGGGCGCAGGACCTTTGTCCTCAACTGTTACCTTTTCAGGGTTTATGTAAAGCTTTTTAATATGTCGGCTCAGTATATCTCAGTTACTTTTTCAGGGTTTAAAGCTTGTTTAATAGGTCGGCTCAGTATATGTCAGGATCCCCCAAAGCCCCTACAATCTGAGAGCAAAAAGCCCTCTGCAACTCAGCCCTCCGTCCAGATCCCACGACCCATGCAACAAACCCTAAACCCAAACCCTAAACCCTGAACCCAAACCCTAAACCCCAAACCCAAACCCTAAACCCAAACCCTGAACCCTGGACCCCCTAAATCTGCTCTCAAGCTTCGGCGCTCGTGGATTACACTATATAAATGAAGCAGACATGCAGCGTCGAGCAACAGCATCCACAACTCTGAGTCTGACAACAATGCGTGCATGTCTACCCGTGATTTGTAGAGCCGTGTCTGTGAAAATGCTGGTACGTACGTAATTACTCTATGTGCTTGAACATAGGTAGTCATGCAGCAAACGGCACATGATGGACCATATGTTGCACGCACCAGCGACTGCTCAGACTGGTATGCGAGATTGCTTGCACGAGATTTCGTGCTTTATGATGAAAGCCGCAAGGAAACAGTAAGCACGGTAAGGGAGAAGCTCATTTCCGTTGTACTCTGTTTATTCTGTGTCTCTCTTTTCGTCCTCTCCCATTGAACTCATGTTTGTTCGGTAGTTTAGTCTGTCCTTCTCTGTATAATGCACTTCTGTCGTTGACACAACAATCGTGTCTGAGTGGAAGCTTGATTAAGCAAAGTCTCTCGCACCACATCGCCGTGCAGAATCTGTCGTTCAAGCCTCATGCTTGTCATTCACGCTTTCACTCCTTCATTTCTATTCAGGAGCTCACTGCTTCATCCCAGGCTTTCCTCGTTGTTTCGTTGTTCTTGATAACCGTCTCCGTCGCCTGCGGCTGATATCCTTCAATCTAAACCCTAAATCCTAGAAGGCCTCCACGCCTTTGCTGCGAAAACCTACAGGCCCGTCGACAGACAACGGAGCCACGGCGCCGAATATGTCACGAGCTGAGTTCTTTTTTGGGGGGTTAATTAGGTCTGTGTCTGTGTGTATGTATTTACACATCTGTCTATTGTAAACGTATATATGTAAAGTAGATATACATACGGTATATACATAATATATATATACATATATATATATATATATATGTATATATATATATATATTATATTATATTATATTATATTATATTATATTATATTATATTATATATACATATATATATATATATAATTATGTATACACCCATACGTGTGTGTATCACACCTACATGGCAAAGGCTATTGCCGGGTTAGTGCAGAGTTTCGCGGGGTTGGAGCAGCGCTCTGCTGAGTTCATGAAGCTTCCACATTGTTAAGAGTCTTCTGTACATGACTGACAATCCTGGGCTTCCTTCTCTTGGGGCATTCCATATCATCGTCGTCATGGTCCTCACTGCCACATGATTGGCATCAGCATTCAGATCCAAAGCATATACACTGCTGTGCGCCAAGCACGACCATCGCCATACGCCCCAAGCACGGATGCCACAAAGCCCTCTCGATGAGGTAGATACGCAGCCGGAAAAGACCAGAGGTCCTTGAGCAAACAAATCGTAGGCAGATGTGGGTATAATATAGGGGCCTCGATAGTTACCTATACTACGTTGGGGGCTCTTATTTTGATTACAGTATAATGGGCCCCAAAACCCCATTCAGGCTAACTATTAAGGCCCCTATCCTAGAAACCGAAAAGAAGGTTCACCCAAGCATGGTCTGCCTGGGGCATGCCGCCTCCTGCGATGTGGCCGGGGCAGCCTGGGGCCTCAGTTCTTGACGTGTTCTGGCACAATGGGGCTCGGACCATGTACAATACCCATGGGAGACATGGTAGTTGGTGATACCCACTGAACTCGAGAGGGCTCCAAGATGCTCCAAGGTAGGTTCGGCTTAGCTGTTCTTGTTGCTCCTGATGTGTCTACGAACATGTGTGAAGGCACGGTTCTTTGCTGTGTCAGGGATTTGCTGATATGGGAGTTTCCGAAAATTAGGGGTACCTTATGTGGGCTCCTTATAATAAGAATCCTACTATTTAGGGTCCTATACTAGGGTCCCCTATTTTCCGAAACTCCCATATCTTGCCATCACTCTTGATATCCCATCGGTCAGGTCGAGACCCAAACTCTACATTCTCGACAATGAGCGGCCGCGACCAAACCCTAAGAGCCTGATCCTTCAGTGTTGACATGTTCAGGTCTCGATCCACTTCTACTCGAACTTTGTAACAGCCGCCTCAACACCTCCAAAGCCACGAAGCCCATGAACTCTGTAAGCCCGAATTCGTAAGCCCTCAAACCCTAAAATCCTAAAGCCCTAAACCCTAAAAGCCCTAAGCCTTAAATGCTCTCCAAACCCTAACGCCCAAAGCCCCAAACCGCAAAAACCCTTTAATTCTAAAGCCCTCAGCCCTGAAGCTCAAGCCTTGTGACCTCCCTAAACCCTAAACCCCTAACCCCTAAACCCTAAACCTTAAACCCTTTGGCCCCTTTAGCACCTCGGCCTCGAAGTGCCTTAGACGCCTTATGCCCAGGGCTGCTGCGTGGGGCTCTCAGAGGTTCCAGAGCATCCTGGCTTCGGGGTGTGTGAACATGGAGTGTAGGTTTTAGGCTTGCGTCTACATACATATATATATATATATACATATATATATATACAATTATATTATATTAAATATATATATATATATATATATATATATATATATATATATATGTGTATGTGCGTTCGTGCGTGCGTGCGTGTGTGTGTGTGTGTATGCATTTATGCATATATGTACATACATACATATGCGCAGTACTTACTAGCAATACTACTTTGATAATATCAACCTTAGTGTTATGATAGCTGTTGTTGTAGGTATTACTATCACTATTATTATATTACTCTCACTATTACTGTTACTATCACTTTTACTACGAGTAGGATAGTACTGATTTGTAAGTAGAGGGAGAACTTTCTGTTACTATTGTTCAGTCAGAACGGTACTCCTGGTGCAGTAGAGTTGTGGTACTGGTACAGTTCCATTTCAAGTATAGTTCCGCTGGAGTCATAACAAAAGAACGACGAATTGATTCAGTTTAAGTAGAGTAGGTTCATGTGAATTATGGAACAGTCTATAGATGGGTAGATAGGTCCGATAATTTGCAAGGTTACCGTTTCCTCAGCTATATCGAAGATGCCGCAGTACTTATACTTACAAGTATAGGATAAGTAAAAGCAACACTCAGACGTGACGTATATGTGCGCTGCGCACTTGCCGATACCATTCGTTATTACAGCATTTCATAGGCTTCGACTACCGAAAACGTCGGTGGCGTCGGCATGTCCATGTCGGCGCCAATAGATGAGCAGAAGCCGGGATACTCGTACTTATCAACCAACAGCCGAGGAACTGCGAAACGATCGTGTGCACTCAGAAGCTGAACTTGCATCCTAATTTGTGGGATACCTGACTATGCTGCTGAGAAGGTCTAGCCCCGGTGTTGTGTACCGCAAAGAAGGGGCTGGGTGCAAGACACCAGATAGGATGCAAGAAGTGTCGCAAGAGCAGTTGCAAAGTAACTGGGCATGTACATGCTTTCGGCATGTCACGGCAATCCCTCTCACATCTCATGCTTTTGAAAACCCATAAGATTGGCACTGGCAAAGGGTCGAACGTGTTTGGCATGTAAGGGTTGTCTTCATACCCTGGAATCCCTGAAGCCATACTTTTCAACAAGTACACGTGCCTTGACTTGTCCTCTACGTTCTAGGTAAGGAATTTAACCTTCATTTGCCATGATTGTGATTACGTAACGTAAGTTGCTGAGCAAGAACCCTGTCTTGCCCTGCGAGGTTCTCTGGAAACGATGCATCGCAGGACATGCAAGAAGAGGAAGACTTAGACGCGTGCTGCAACAAGAGAAACTATGCAAATAAGAGGGTCCTACGACTGTGTCTGAAGCCCTGAAGCCCTGAACCCTAAACCCCAAGTGCTGGTACAACAGCAGACTGGTCGTTGGTCAGGAGGCCCTGCAGAACCTCCTGCAGATGAGCGGAGGCGGCTTCCTCCTGTCTAGTTCAGCGTTGTCCTTCCTGTTTCTCCTTGAGGGTTTTAGATTACGTAAGTGAGCATCACAAGGAAACTGTTCTTGACTATCGATCCCGTTGATGGTAACTTAAAGTATCTAGGCAGAACCTAGGTTGTCCAGTACCTAATTCGGCTTGTCCCCAGCTTGGATGTCGTACTCTCCGGCACGAATTAATTAGACACCAGACTATACTATTTTCTCTGAGAGCCTTTTTGACGTTGAGTATCCTACACTGAGAACCTCGGGTAGACAAGGAAAGGTACCATATTTTCGTGTCTACGTAGGTAACTCTTACTGTTGATTGTGTGTTGTTACATACTCCTGGGGTACTGGGGAGGGAAGCAAGGCGTATGATTCAAGGGCTGATAAGGGGACAGAGTTTACTTGTTAGGGCAAAACCAAAACACAACCAAGGGGTCCCTCATCCAGAGAGGGGTTGGCGACTTGCTCCCATGTTTTTGTGCCGCGCGACGGTAAATCTACGAGACAAAGCCCCAAACCCCAAACCTTCATGCACCACAAGCACTGATATTCTTCGAACTTCTCTGAATTGGTCGTCTAATTTTTAGCAAAGGTGTCAAACAGTGGGGTTAGGGTGTTTGTGGCAATTTTGGGGGCATATCAAGTACAACTACCATGGGACGTTTTTTACTAATTGTTCATACGGTCATATCACAGCACTACATCTCGTGTTGCTCTGCTTTTGAGTACCACTGTCATCGCTCGTGTTGGGCTCATGAGCAATACTATGCTACGCTGCAGCAGGCTACACCCTAAACCCTGACCTCCACCACATGAATCCTTAGCGCCGGTACATGAACGCGGCAGACCCTGGAACTTGAAGTTCTAGTTCCTGCATCCCCCTAAACACCCTCAAAAACCGAACCCTTAGCCCAAAAAACAGGCCTCGGCGTCCAGACCGAACGGCTAAGGAAGGAGCTCCGAAGGAGCTCCAAAAGAAACTAAGCCGGGCTCTGCACCCTGAACTCGAAGCCTCATCCCACGCTTTCCAGGGATGCCATCAGCAGACCCCAGCCAGGGCCCGGCAGCCAAGAAAGTTTCGGCTTTACAGGGTCCTCTGCACTGCTGTAGTTATAATGAGGACCCCCCAAAATAGTATAGGTTATTGTTAAGAATTGTTAAGCCCCCCATATTATAGGGCTTATGACTTACCCAGGCACTTTGGGCATTCACGGAGTTCTTGGGCTCTATGTAAGGTTGGTTTGCAAGTCTTTCCAATACCGCGGGGGCGGATAAGGTAGACATGTTCGAGGTTTGTGCGTTTGGGTTCAGGGTATGTGTGGGATGCAGGGCTCCTATAGAACTGTGTTTGCGACATTTTGTAGTAGAGCGTCTTCTGTTCAAGGAGGTTTGGTGCAGAGTCCATCCGCGTTTGTATGTATATATGTATGTATGTATGCATGTATGCAGGTAAGTAAGTATGTATGTATGTAAGTAAGTATGTTTGTATGTATGTATCTCTGTATGAATTTTATGTTATGGTATGGTGTGGTGGGGTGTTGTATTGTATTGTAAGTATGATACATGCATATGATGTATGGAGAGAGAGAGAGAGAGAGAGAGAGAGAGAGAGAGAGAGAGAGAGAGAGAGAGAGAGAGAGAGAGAGAGAGAGAGAGAGAGAGAGAGAGAGAGAGAGAGAGAGAGAGAGAGAGAGAGAGAGAGAGAGAGAGCGAGAGAGAGAGAGAGAGAGAGAGAGAGAGAGAGAGAGAGAGAGAGAGAGAGAGAGAGAGAGATAGAGAGAGCATCAGCTTCTGGATGCCTCCACGAGGGCAGATCTACGTCGATGCAGAGTTCGTCGAGCCAAACTCACGAAACATGGACATCACTAGCTCTGCTACTGTCACTACACGTAGGAGCCCCGAATTCAGCTCAGAAACGCAATCCAGAAACGTTGAAAGGAAGCCAGCTATTTTATGGCAGATCCCATCATGGCAATTCATTTTAAGCTTCTTAAGAAGACCCGAGGAGTTCCGGCAGCTCTCCTCAGCTACTTGGCCATGGGAAATCCACAAGGCTGTCTGCAGCGGACTCCAACGAATATACTGAACCATAGGAAGTTGGAACGTGAAATGCTGGGATTCCCTATACTTGACTTTGGCACGAGGATAGCATTGTTGAAACTTTCTGGCTTTTACTTTAGGTTTGTCTGGGAACTGTGAACTGCTTGACGGCTTAAGGGTTAAGAGTTTGGAAGAGTAGTGTCCTGGCTTCCTTTGTAAGGAACTTAGCTGCAGTTAACCTACTAGGGACCACTATTATGGCAACTTGTTTTCGATCTAAACCCCAAACTAAATTATGGTATCTTAAACTGAATCTGAATTCCAGAACCAAAGCGTAGCCCCGAATGCATTAGGCTGCTAGGCGCGGCTCTCGAGATTTGAATTTTGGTTTGTGGATGAAGCTCTCAAAGAGGATCTCAACGTCCTACAATTTAGGGTTTAGGGTTTAGTGAAGGGATCAGAGTCCAGGGTTTCGAGGAGCCTGTCGACGTAGAGTGCCAGATGTTCGTTCCTACGTGTTTTTTGTCTTTTTGTTCATCAATCCGCCACCCCAACCCAAAAAACCCTAAACCCCACCCCGCCCCCTTTAAGCTCATGGCGGTTGATCACGTACTCATATGGGTGGTTGTCAAAGTTATGGTCCCTTTTTGGGTCCCTAATACAGTACGGCAGCTAATATTTAGGGTACCCCAAAAGGGGCCATAATATTGACAACCACTCATATCGCTCCACATTCCCTATCCTAGGCCACCCTAAGCCTCAGACTGCTTTGGCGATCATGGGTTTGGCATGGCCGCACTGTGGAGTGCACTTAGCAAGGGGTACTTAGAAATATTTTTAAACTTTTGGTTATCATAATCCCTAAGAAACAGCTAGAACTACAATTGTTGCTAGGGTTCTAAGTTCAGTATAGTGCAGGGTGGACTGAGGAGTTTCATGGGGAAGTCATAGATGTTAATTTAGGGTTTTGGTTTGGGTTTGGGTCTTTAGTTTAGGTTTAGGGTTGTGACTTCGTACGTTTTGGGGGCTTGGAGGTTGGGGGCTGAGCGCAGACATTTTTTCGGGCTTCGAGGCTTCATTTAAGGTTTGTGTTAAGTTGCTGTGAGGGTTAGGGCATCTAGGAACCAATTAGAAGGCGACTTAGGGTCGCGGGTTCAATCGCAAGCGGGTTGCGATTTGTGGTTGGGCCCTCTACCCATAGGCTCCGTAGTAGTTCCTTTTTGGGATTACCTTATAGGATTCTAAATACAAACCCCAAAAAGGAACTACTATGGAGCCCTTGGGTAAGCCGCACAGTCTGGCAGAAGGAAGCTTCTCGCGGTCAGTCCGGAAGCTCCCCGAGCACAAGGTGAGCGGCGGGACGTTTCGAGCCGGCATTTGTGGCTGGAGCTCTGAAAAATGTTTAGGGTTTAGGATTTAGGGTTTAGGATTTAGGGTTTAGGGTTTAGGTTTAGGATTTAGGGTTTAGGTTTAGGGTTTAGGGATTAGGGTCTGCAAAAAGCCACCGAAGCCATTGAGTTGGTTCATGCGTGTCGTGCTGAGGTCTCAAATAAGAAACCCCTGGGAATATACCCTTAATATAGCTATGATACACCCATTATATAGCACATTATAGGGTAGGGAACCCAGCTTGAACTTACCCCAAAGCCTTCACTGCGAAACCCTGCTGCTTCAAAGAGAAACAAATTCCAGCCTGTTCGTAGGCGGCCTGCCCAATGCTACTTGGATGGACATGAACCAGCTTCATGCTATGCCCCTTGGCAACAAAGGGAGGTTCCGAAAATAGGGCACCCTAATATACTACCCTAAATAGTAGGGCCTTATTATAAGGGCCCCAAAATACAGTACCCTAAATAGTAGGATCCTTATTATAAGGGCCCCAGAATAAGGTACCCCTAAATAGTAGGATCCTTATTATAAGGGACCCAAAATAAAGTACCCTAGTTTAAGAGCCATGGCTGGGTTGGGGCCGAAGACTTGTCGCGCGGAGGATCTTCCATTCTTGCTCCCTTACCGGCACCAGTACATGAGGCGTAAACTGCTGGAGTATTCAGGCCTTCACCTTAACACCACCAAGCCCCCAGAAGTATCGAAGGACCCAAGCGGTCCAAAACTGCACAGGGCATCTTGAACCAAAGCCCACTGTACAGAGCGCACGCATGGCGGTCAATCTGGGGCTGCCCGATGCAGCATGCTAGCGACCCACGCGGATTAACCAAACCCGAGCCTGACCCTGAAGGTATTTTATGTCGTATCTCTCCCACACGGGAGTTTCCGAGAATAGGGGACCCTAATAGAATACCCTAAATAGTAGGATCCGTGTTATAAGGACCCCAAAGCAAAATCTCACTTCTTTTCAGAAACCCCCACATTGCAGTGAGAAACAAGAAAGGCGTGATCATCTATCAGGGTTTCGGCCCGAGACTCAAAGGCGCATGTCAAAAGCACCATATATTGCAATTTCAGTTGATGCCCAAAATGCGCACTCCTTCAACCCCAAGAAGTCCTTAACCTTTAGCCCCAAGGCCTAAACCCTAAACCTTAAGCCCGAAACTCCTTCAACCCCAAGAAGTCCTTAACCTTTAGTCCCAAGCCCAAAACCTTAAACCCTGAACTCCTTCAACCCCAAGAAGTCCTTGACCTTTAGCCCCTAAGAGTTGTTTATCCTAACGCCCTGCCCACAGCCCTGAAGCCCCAAGCCCTAAACGTTTTTAGCCGTCCTAAAGGACCCTAAACTGTGGGCATTATGGCCTATTCCTTATCATGGTTTATGCAGGGTTGAATTAATATAGCACCAAAATAGTAGGGTTCATATAAGGAACCCTAATAACGGCCCAAGGTCTCTTAATCAGGTTCCTACATTATATCATCAACTAGGATGCCCAGTAGTACCCTTATTCCCTTTTTGTAGTCCTAGGTTCCTTATAAAGTTACCCAATACCAAAAAGAGAGGCCTTTTTATTCTTAGGTTACTGGGTATCCTAGTATATCATCAACCGTATTTCCTGAGGCAGTCCCAGGGTCAGGGGCTCGCTTCCCAGCAAAATGAGATTCTCGCCTGCAAGCTGAGACGGAAATCCGATGCGGCTATTTGGGTTTAGGGTTTAGGGTTTGGGGTTTAGGGTGTAGGGTGTAGGGTTTTGGATTTCGGTTTTAGGGTATTGGGTTTTGCGCTTTGGGTTTTGGGTTTAGGGTGTTGGGTTTTGGGCTTTTGGGTTTGGGGTTTAGGGAGTTAGCGGCTGTGTGGTAGGTCGAGTAGTTGCTAGTAGTGATATTGGTTAGGGCATGTAAGCTTAGGGTTTTAAGGGTGTAGGGTTTAGGGAAGTTTAGTGGGCAGCTCCAGTTGGATCTGCGGTTCCGAAGTGCCGATGATTGCGTGCTCTGGCCTGTGCAATCACCCGCTGGCCAACCCTACAATCCTAGGGCAACCCTACATACATGCATGGAATGCATGCGCGCATACATATATAAGTATTAACATGCATAAATACATGTGTTTATGCAGACATACATTCATGCAGACACAACTATTTACAAACATACACAAATGCATATCTCAACTCTCCGGAGAGTGGTTTTGCTAAGAAACCCTACACCTTAAATTCTAAACAAACACCCTTCTTCGGAGGCAACTGGCGGACCACGATGGGCAGGCCGGAGCCCTGGGTTTGGAGTACCATACTTGAATACTTTTTTGGGGTACCTGTTCCTTAAAGGAACCATTATGAAGCAAAAGTCTATACTCTTTCTGCCTGGCCACTTCAAAGTCCAGTTTTGGGTCTAGCCCAACTGTTTAGGGCTTTAGGGGTTCAGGTTCAGGGCTTTGAGGGAAAGGTTTAGGGTTTAGTGTTTGCGCTTTGAGGTTTAATTAGGGTTTAGAGTGTGTTTCCATGCGGGGAGGGTGGGTGGTTCAAGGAGCGCACGTAAACGGGGTGATATAGCCAGAGCAAGATGTGTAAGAATCCCATTATGGAAAGTTAGCTTCCGGCCCTCAAGAAGAACCCAAGCATACCGGGCTCTGGCACAAGTAATTAACGTGCTTGTCACGAGTAGTTCGCCTTCGAGCTTCAGGGAACAAGACCACTTGTGTGTTTTCAGCTGTGTCAGCAAGCCTGGGCTTGCGACTCTGATCTTTTGAGCCCCCCAAGACGGAGCCAACATAGCGGGCCCCTGTCTATCATACCCCTCCAGCACCCCCAGTCTAGTCCTGACCTTAAATCCTTGGGCTCTGAGCTCTAAACATGCGGTGGGTGACCACTGGGGATTGTGATCTGAAGTGCGTGCCCAACCCAACCCCCTTTTTTTTCAAAAAAAAAAAAGCAAAAGCTGAACAGTAAGCCATACAAGTCCTAAACCCCAAACCCTACGAGCCCTCGCGCTAAACCTTACACCTTCAATCACGCCAAGTCATGTCCTCACTGGGAGGCTAAGATGGAGGCCTCTGACGCCCCAGCAGCCGTCTTGCCCTCGACTGCCCGGGTTACGGTTTGGGGTTCAAGGCTTTGAGTTTTAGGGGTAGTTTAGAGTTTAGGATTCATAGGGCTGTGGTTCGTTTGCAGGCACCTTCCCGATGAGTAAGCCCTACTTCGGATCCCGGCGTTGTTGTGCTTTCAAGCGGAAGATTCGGAAAATGAGAGGCCCTTATTAAGGGGGACACTTCGTACAGGATGCCCTTACTACTTCACGCTTAAATTCATGCTTCACATCCTCTTTCGACGGAACCCACCGTCCAAGCTTTCTACTCGACCCTGAACCACCGACACCTACAAGCTTCAATCTCAAACCAAAGACCTGTAAGGTCTAGGCCTAATTCATCCCAAAAGATCCATTCAGAACCGACAACTTCGAATGCTGGCATCGGGCAAAGACTTTCAGAAGCATATTGAAAGATGGCGGGTTCAGTGCTTTTTTTGTTGGATGGGAAGGTCAAGTTTGTAGATTTGGGTTACGGTCCGTAACATTGCGCCCGAATAAATAGTAAGTAAAATCACCACCTCGTAATCCGTACATAATTATGCCCTTTTAGAATCCTAGTGAAAATGCTCGGACGGATCTCACGTCTCAACCCTGTAGCCTAAGCAGTAGACCCCTGCACCCCAAAACCCGAAACCCTAAAGTCCTAAACCCTAAACCGTATAGTCCTAAACCCTGAGCTCCTAGTACTGCAGCCCTATACCCGAAAACCAGAAAGGCGGTGCTGCGTAAATATCCCGATAAAACCTTCTGAATCCATTTAAACGACTGTAAAAATCCTTATTAAACACCGCCAAGATCCCCAAACTGAAAGCCCCAAGCCCTGCACACCCTGAGCCCTAAACCACATCTATCTATGATCTATCGTTCTATCTATATAGCTATCTATGTGCATATCTATCTGTCTCTCGGTCCATGCATCTGCCTGCCTGTATGTATGTCTGTATGTATGTATGCATGTATGTGCATATGTATATGTATGTCTCTCTCCATACCTATGTCTATATATATATATATATATACATATATATACATATGTATGTGTACATGTATTTGTGTGCCTGCGCATATGTGCTTTTTAGTTTATGTATCTATGTGTTTGACAGCACAAGAATCTACATGGCAGTTTCCGAAAATAGGGGACCCTAGTATAGGACCCTAAATAGTAGGATTCTTATTATAAGGAGCCCCAAATAAGGGTACCCCTAATTTTCGGAAACTCTCACATGACTCAGATTCGGCTGCGCGGCCTGCCCTACGAAGCTGGCGAGCAGGTGCACCGCTTTAAAGGGAACTCCAGAAAGTTGGAATATGGTCTCAGGGTAGGATACCCTATAATTTACCTTAAAGGGGTTACGATAATGATAGTCCAGCTTTCTGGCTTTTACTGTAAGGGTTTAGGGTTTTGGGTTTTGGAACGTGTCTGAACTTGAGTGCAGGTCTTTACGGGCTCTAGGAGTTTAGCATTTGGGGTTGGGGTGTTACGGTTTAGGGTTCAGGGTCTAGGGTGTAAGTTTATAGGGGAGCCAGCAGGATTAGAATCATTACAACAGGCGTTAGTGTGTACATCTGGCACTCTATTCACTAAGGGACCACACAACTACTTATTCAGGCACCTATCTTACGATAACAGCGATGTCAGGGGAAGAATAAAGGGCTCCGGAATAGCACATGTTGGAAATGATATCCACATATAGTATATAGTTCTACCATAAATCTCCCTCAACCCGGATTCACATGAATCAGGGTCCTACATGCATCACTGGCGACAGGTTAAAGTCATTGCCATATATACAGAGAAGCAGATCTTGTTTTCTGAACGTTTGGTATAATGGCCATCACGCTATACTTATCCACTTCCATGCTGAACTATACCTCCGTGCGTACTTGTACCGCTAAGTTTAACAGACTAACAAGACAAAAACTGAGCTCAAATGCTTGAGCCGGCGGTGTGGGCTGTGTGTTTTGCAGGTATGCCGGGACCCGAAGAGAACCACGTCGAGTCTGTATAGTTGGTTGAGAGAGGTATGGGCTTAGGACGTGGTTTCAACAATATTTGGGTCTGATGGAGTACCTTCACCGCAAATTTTGGCTTTCTTGTTTTCATAGACCAGTGCAGGAAGTCGCTCGTTGATCCAGCCACAAACAGCCGAAATCCCTCAACCAAGATACGACATAGTGTTAAACCCCAAGCCTCGAAACTCAGTTGAACAAGGCACAGTCCCCTTGCAGGATATTCTCGCATGGATGGCCAAGTATGACGTCGTTGATCGCATTATGGAGTGCAAGCAAGCCGCTGCTCGACCGCTCGGCTTAGTACAGGGGCTTGAATAGCGAGTAAATCGAAGCAGTATTTTAAATTCATACAGTCTTTCTGCAGAAATGCACTCGAAAGAAGCTAGACTCGATATTCGGGATTGACTTGGGCAGGATTTCAACTGATGTCCGAACTCTTTGCAAGCTAAAAGCATGAGCTTCGACCCCATGCCATAGACCCGACCTATATCACGGTCTACCCCAAAGTCCTTGAACACCTTAAAACTCTGCATGAAAATTCAAAAATATCCCTCATTTCTGACAAGAGATGACCGGGGCTGGGTTCTGAGAGCTACCCATAGGCCCCATAGTAGTTCCTTTTTGGCGCTCTTTTGTAGAATCCTATAAGGTAATCCCAAAAAGGAACTACTCTGGGGCCTATGGGTGCACTGATCCGGTCGACATCCTAGCGTTTTCGTGCAGCATGGAAATCTTGACCCCTTATTTCCTTATTTGGGGGTTCAGGTTCCCTGAAAAGCCCCTTTAAACCAACAAGGGCACTCTTTTTATTCCTGGGTTACTGTTGGGTCTAGACTGTTCTTTTGTGCATGCATGATTCATTCATCCGCTCACTCTCCATTAACTTGTTGAGTCACTGGCTCCTTCCTATTCTTTCGTTCGTTCACTCGTTTGTCCACCCATGATTTGTGCAGTGTTTCCTTCATTCGTTGATTTGTTCGTTCGCACGGATCATCCCTCCACCTCCATCCTTCCGACCTCCCTCCCTCCTTCGTCTGGGTGCACGTCTCACGTCTTACTTTGTTGGTCCCTCCATCCCTTTCTCTCCCCTCTGGCATTGCATGCATGCATACATACATCTCAAGTACATGCATACCGCCACCAGCAACCGCACCCCATCCAAGGTCAGGATCTACAGCAAGGCCAGTTGGGGATCTCTTGAATGCCACCGAAAGAAGAGTCTCCAGTGTAGCTGGGCTTGGTGTTCATGATTCTCGGGAAGAAATAGGATGTAGAACAGTTGGCATATGGGCGGTTGTCCAAATTACGGTCCCCTTTAGGGTCCTTATTATAATACGGCATAATATTTAGGGTACCCCAAAAGGGGCCCTAATTTTGACAACTACCCATATGCCTTCTTGACTTTCATGCAGTGTCGAGATGGCAGGGTCATTGTCCTAACCTCAGCCCAAATCCTAAACCTAAGCTGAATCCCAAACCGACATGCCCGTGAGTTTGTGTTTGTTTTGCTGCTGCTGCTGTGGTTGATTGGTTATGGCGCGTATGACAGTGATCATATTCAGTGTTGGGTTTCTATGAGCCAAAACAGACTAGCACTGTGACCGATAATATTCATGATGATCATCTTTATTGCAGTCGTGAGGGCGGCTGGTTATGAGAATGGTTCTTGCTTGTCGAACGTTAGGCCGAGGGTGGTGATGATGAGCACGACGAGAATAAGCCCGAATCCTCAACCTCGAGCCCTAAACCACACACTACAGATGCAGACTCCAACAGGCCCTCAAACAAAACAAACTGCACCCTAAACTCATGTTGGTCAGCCGAGGAGAAGTGGTTTGAGGAGCTAGACCTCCCCTAAACCCTAAACCTTCAAACCCTAGCAAGATCACCTAAAGCCCAAAGTCCTCTAAAGCCCAAACCCCAAAATCCCAAAGCCTAAACCCTATAATGTACTAAACCCATCACCCTTAGATCTCTAAAGCCTAAACCTTACAACAAAGCTAAACCCTAAAGCCTCACACCTTAAAGCCGCGAAACCTAGCATCCTAAGCCTAAGCAAAAATCTTTAAACCCTACAACCTGCAGCCCTAAAATCCTAAACCCCGAAGCCAAAAATCCTAATCCCCCCTTAAACCCTAAACCTTAGAACCCTAACTCCTCTTAAAAGTAAACCCTAAAGCCCTCAAGCCCCAACCCGCCGTCAGAACAACGGGAAGCCCATGGGCTTGGCTGTGATCGCCATGAACAGCAAGGAGGATGCCGATTTCGTCCGGCAGGCGATGGCCTCTACGGGCTCCTTTAAAGGATGAGTTTCTTAGGGCTTTTTGTTCAGGTGGTTTTCAGGGGTAATCAGAAGGGTACATAAGGGCTCTATGAGGTTTAGGAGTTTAGGGTTTAGGCTTCCCTTACGGCTTTCTATAGGTTACAATGAGGCTCCCAAGGTTACTGTAATGGGTGCTGGAGGGTTACATGCAGTACGGCGAACGGTTATCATTAGGGCTGCTATAATCATTTATAAAGGCCACAAGGCTGCTACGACGAAAGCCCTAAACCTGAAACCCGAACCCTGGGTTTCCTGGTATCCCCTGCACCCTAAACCCCTCAAAAACCCCTAAACCCTAAACCCTCAACCCTAAATCCTCAAAAACCCCTACACCCCTAAACCTCTAAACCCCTAAACCCCTAAACCCCCCTCACCCTGGCCAAGGCGTTCTGGTCATCGAAACTCTTTGGAGCCTCACAAGGGTTTAGGGTCCAGGGTTTGGGGGTTTAGGGCTTAAGGGTTGAAGGGTTTAAGGTTTAGGGTTTAGGATTTAGGGTTTAGGATTTTGGGTCCAGGGTTTGGGGGTTTAGGGTTTAAGGGTTGCAGGGTTTACGGGTTTAAGGGTTTAAGGGGGTTCAAGGGTTTATGGGTCAGAGAGTCTAGGGGTTTAGTGCAGAAAGCCCACAAAGCCATTGTATACCCCTGCAGCCTCATGGCTGGTAACTGCACCTCACACTTTTTTCCACAACCTAGGGGTAGGAATGAAGAGTATGGGAGGGCCTTGGAGCTCAACAAGATAGGTCTGCTAGAGTATGCCCCCGAGGCCCTACCAACTGTTGAGGCCCCTACAGCCTAAGCCTCTGCCGGCCTTTGAGGCACTCCATGGTCAGTACATGGGTAATCGCTACATCGAGGTCTTTCCCCATCTGGAGGCCTTCCGATGTGATTCGGAGCCTGTGATTTGGTGCTGTCTTAGGGCCCATGGCTTGGGGTTTCATGTCCATGTTTTTGTTTAAGTAGTCTATGCTCTTGCAGATCCCTCAGTTTGATTTGGTTCTTGTTAAGGAACTTACTTTGAGCTACAGGCCAGGAAACCCCATCATCTACGATAGATCTCTATTTGTTAACTTAAATTAGGTTCCGCTACGCAAGGATCCAGGGTTGAGGCTGTTGGATTAGGAACCCTGGTTGTTGGTCTGGTGGTTGCCTACAGACTTCGCAACTAGGTTCCCCGCCAGTGCACTTTTGCATCTTTGAATGAATGGAGAAGAAGGATCCCCCATATATATATATATATATAAATAAATTTAAACAATGGTAAAAAAAAAAAGTACGCCGCCGTCGGAGGCCCTTCTGAGATTTTAGCCCCCCCCCTCCCCCCAGCTAGGTTTGACCAAGCCCCGTTTTAAGATACCACCCGAGCCCGACCAACTCACCCCGCCCCAGCCTCAACTTTCCTCAAAGGCTACCCATACTACCCTATACACACACCTTAGTACTAATCTATCCCATAAACTCAAGCAACCAACCAACACCGAGCCTCAACATCAAGCCTCAACCAATCCCGATAGAATATTACATAATTTTATGTAATATCTTATCCTAGTAAAACGGGGCGGGCCCCCTTGTAGAGTTTTATGTATCCCTAAACCCAAAGCTCCTATCCACGCGCCTGGCAACACCATCTTCGACGACATCATCGGCAGGAGGTCGGCCTTGCTCGAATTAACTTCCGGAACTCTGCGACACCGCGGATTTCTGTGCTTGGATTGCGTTTAGGCTTTAGGGCTTAAGGTTTAGGCGCTGTCATTTCTGGTTGGCAGAAGGCAGTTCCTGGGCTTGCTACGCTAGTACTTGCGTACCACACCGCTACTATTCTCACTGGCTGTACTTGTAGCCGGGAAACTGTTTTTGACGAGCTGTCTCTGTTCAGGGCCTTTTTTCTGCAGCGCTTCTGCCCGTAACACAGTTGCGATGCCCATGTCACGGGCTTCATACAAACACTTTGACAACCTGTGATAGCCACTGGCTCGAAAGCTGTGCGTGCAGCTGTTGTTGCAGCTTTCTGGTGTAGATATTAGCTTTGTTTCAAAGTGTGTGGAGTAGCATAATTTTCATTTCCTTTAAACGTATTGCCCGGGTGCTAAGCCGGAAGCCTTCCTGACAAGAGTTTATTTGATGTTTTGAGAGCTACAGCGCCTATGTCATTTTCGAAAAGCGCTCGCTTTGCTGAGCGAGGGCATATTGACCCAGGGCCAGGACACTATCATCTGCTGCGTTTCCTGGACACGCCAGGTGGATTGTCTCGCCAGAAGGCCACAAAGACTCCCCAAGCGCCTTGCGCTCATGTTCTGCCGCGCCTCCTGAGGTCCAAACCTGAAAGTAGTCGAGGCGCCCTGAAGAAAACAGAGTTGCTGGCCTCTGTTCTCCATTGGCCAGACGTGGTCGCCCCAGAGGTTCAGATTGGAAAGGGGGCATGGGGCAAAGTGTTTGCAGCCAGATTCCACGAATCTACTATGAAGTGCGCACTGAAATGCAAGCGCCATGACCAGAACGACTGCCAGGGAAACGACTTCTTCCACGAAGCGGAGATTATGCGCAAGCTCCGGCACCCCTTCGTCGCCAGGGTGATTTTCACATCTTGCAGCCCTGTGCCGGCCATTGCCTTTGAACTGCTGGGCTCCTCGCTGGAGGAAAGCACGACAGTGCACAACATACCCAACGCTGGCTTGTGCGATGCATTTGGATGCGCGATGGCCGGGATGAGCTACCTGCACAGTGTGCAAATTGCACATCGGGACATCTGTCCTCGAAACATGGTTCACCTGAACAAGGACATGAAATCGAAAGGCTGGAAGCTGAAGCTTGTGGATTTTGATTCTTCCGAGAACCTGGATGAGCAGAGCCGGCACGGACCAGGATCATTGTATTTTGCACCACTAATCTTTGGAGGGTGGTGCCGTATGGCACTGGACAGATATGCATTGGGCATGTCATTCAAAGAGATTATTGAACATCGAGGGTCTAGTCTTTCAAGCAATTTCGCCGTGCATGCGCTCGTTGTCATGGACGAGTTGATGACAGGATCTACAGTGCTGGCTGCGTCCCTGCGTGCTTCCTCTGAATACCAGAACGAAGCACCCTGAGCCAGGAGGGCGGAGCAAAAGTGTTGTGCTTTTGCTCGGCCCACGCTTGCCATCATTCGCCACTCCAGAACCTTACACCCCCAATCCATTATTGTGTTCTTAGGAATCTCTACGAAGTACCCAAACAACCTGCTTTCTGACCCTCAACAAGACGTCTACAGCTATGGCTATAAAGCTTTAAGCCTGAATCCTTCAACCCCAAACACCAAAAATGCTCAAGCTTAAACCCTGCAAGATACCCTTAGTCATGGAAGCCCCATGCATCTTTAAGAACCTCCAAGCGGACTTTGGAACATTGAATCCCTACCCCTATGAACCTTAAGCCTTAATCCTACCCCCAAGCCCGCAGCTTGACACGCTCGCCAGGTATTTGTCTTCTACCTCCTCATCAACATCTTGTTCAACTGCTTTCGCGTTGGTTTCTTGAACCGTGCTTGGGGTGGCTTTTCAGGGTTGTTAGAGGGTTGGTTGTTGAACCTTCGTGCCGGCTCTTCCTAACATTGAGACTGCAAAGCTGCCAACGTGGCGGTTAATCCTATCATTGAGACCGCAGAAGTCCCGACTTGTCGTGAGTCAGAGCTTAAATCACGAGGTGTCGCGACTTAAGTAAAGTAAGATTTTATAAATACGACGTTAATACTATAGCCGAGAAGGAACTAAATGAATACTTTAACAACAAGGTTAAAAACTATATGGAGCAGGATAGAGAAGCACAAAGAGAAATGAAAGCAAGCGAGTATGTGAATGTAGGGTGGCTAAAGGAAAGGATGAAGGGACACTGCGGGCACTGTGGTGAAGCCTATGTGATTGAAAAGGTTGATGGAGTTATAAGAAGCAACTTAACAGCAAACCGTCTAGATAATAATTATGCGCACCATAAGGAAAATTGTGAGGCTATGTGTCATCTATGCAATTGTAGTTTGCATTAATTATAATATAGCCTTTATTATTATGAGCAGTGATAATAAAGATGATACTATAAATCGTATATACTATGACAGAAGTGGCTATGGAAGCATCAGCACAACGTATCAAGATGCAAAAAAGAAGGATAAAACGATAACATTAAATGATGTCCGGCAATGGTTTGAGAATAATGTAGAAAAGAAGAAACAACTAAGAGGTTTTAATTCATTTGTAGCCCCTTATGCTAAGTATGAATATGAAATTGATTTGTTTTTCATTACTAAAAATGACCTACCTAATCAGAAATTTAGGGTGGGGATGATAATGATAGATGTGTTTAGTAAGTTTATGGCGGTAGTGCCTATTAAGAGTAAAGACCCCCCTGACGTTTTAGCTGGGATTATGGAGGGGATACAGAAAATGGGAGGAAAGCCTCAGCGGTTTTATTCAGACGAGGAGGGAAGTTTAAACAGTGGAGTTGTTAAAAATACTTAGACAAGGAGAATATTGAAATACATTTAACTAGGGGACATCCTAATTTCGCTGAGAGGGGTATTCGGACATTTAAAGATAAATTATTTAAAAGAGTGGAGGCGGATGAGAAAAAAGGGAAAGAAGGGATACAATGGACTGATTACATATTAGAAATAGTACTAACATATAACAACAAGGATAAACATTCGGCGACAGGAATGACGCCAAAAGAGGGAGCGATGAAAAAGAACGAATTTAAAGTTAAAACAAGCATTGAATTACAATCTGTATCCAAAAGGAAATTTCCCGAACTTTCTGCCGGTGATAAGGTTAAGATATATAAGAAAAAAGATAAGTTAGATAAGGAGCGCATATCCGTGTGGCTTCCAACAGTTCATACCATAAAAGATATAAAGAGTAGCATGGGACAAGAGTTTTTTGTACTAGAGGGAAAGGATAAGCCATATTTAAGACACGAGTTGCTGAAAGTTTAAAACTCTACAAGGGGGTACGCCCCGTTTTACTGGGATAAGATATTACATAAAATTATGTAATATTTTATCGGGATTGGTTGAGGTTGCGGGTTAAGGTTATGGAGTAGGATAATGGATAAGGTTATGGAATAGGATAATGGATAAGGTTATGGGTATAGGGTGGTATGTAGGTGGTTGATTGAGTTTGTGTGGTGGGGTTTGGGCCGGGGTTGGTGAGTTGGTCGGGGCTCGGGTGGTATCTTAAAACGGGGCTTGGTCTAGACTAGCTCCCCCCCCCCCCCCTCACCAATTATCAAGGTGACAGGAGGGAACCTTTCGGTTCAGTCCACCGAGAGTTGTTGAGCCCATTCCGCCGGTCCATTGCTCGCTTTACTGTTTTTTGCTGCCTGGATAAGGGTCTAGTTTTGGTAGGCTGGCTGGTTTCTAGCCTTTGACCGAAAATCTGAAACCTGAATGCCCTAGTAGAGTGCCCCTTGAGGCGTTCAGACATCCTGCTCGCCCCAAACCGGGTTTGACGTGGATTTGGGGCTCACAGGGAGGAACGACACACAACCCTCTTTCGAATTTCGGGTCCCATAAACAGAAACGGGATCCTAATGTGGAGAACTACCTCTATCCTCGCCTTTGCGGCAGGGCGAAGCCGGGACAGACAAGGCAACAGTGCAAGGCGGACCTGTTGAATATACTATCAAATGGGAGTTTCCGAAAACTCGGGGTACCTTGCTTTGGGGTCCCTATAAAAAGGATCCTACTATTTAGGGTACTATATGAGGATCCCCATCTTCGGAAACTCCCAAATAGCCTAGACCCTAAACCGTTGCTCTGGGTCTCCTACTGCACATGTTCGCTTGGCGTTCTTCAGGATGGCTCTTAGGACTTTAAACTTTTCGGGTTTCTACATGAACTATAACAATCAGGCTAAAGGTTTAACTTTCAGGAGGGATTCAGAGGTCAGCCAAGTCGAGGCTGGAAGATACCCCACACCCCATTCAAAATGTGAAGGCCCCTAACCCTAAACCCTAAACCCTAAACCCTAGATGATGAATGCAGGGCAGGAGTGATTCATTGGAAGGTGCAAGAGGGTCCTCGACAGAAGGGTCGTTGGAACTCTGATTTCTGAAGCCTTTCAGGGAAGTGCTTAGTGGCTTAATGAAGACTTAAGGCTTTCCCCTAAACCCCTTGACGCATCCGAGTGGTTGTCAGTCGGTCAGAAACCCCTAAGCCCTCAACCCTTAGACTCTAAACCCTAGCTGTCAGCAGGACTCGGTTTGAGGAGCTTGGGTCAATAAAAGGTTGAGGAACGTGGCTGTCGTAGATCTCGCGGGGAGCAACTTGAGTTTCCGAAAGTAAGACGTTGAGGATGTAGCGTTTAATTATTATAGGGTTTGGGTTCAGGGTTCAAGGTTTAGGATAGCGCACAGCGATCGGATGAGTTGGCTCCACAGCGAACTGCTTCCTGATGGTTTAAACCAGCGCACTCGGCGCAAACGCTTCTGCCGAAGCCCAAAAACCTAAAGCCGAACGCTAATACCTAGAGGAACTAGTATATCGTGGTATATCATCGGATGTCATGTTGTACCATTGTTATACATGTATATGATGATAATAATAATAGTAGTAGTATGATAGTAATAATATTGATAAGAATGAGAATGTCAAAAATCATGCGGCGAATAGTAATAGTAATAGTAATACTCACAATATCAAGATTACTAATAATACTAAAAATAACTATAAATATAATAGTAGAACAGTGTATTTGGGAATATTAACGTACACTTCTGATGTGTCTAGAGACCCAGAAAGCCTCCAGTCTCAAGCAGTGGGTTACACGCGGTATCACCTGCACAGGGTGGGGCCATTCAAAGGACTCTATGAGGGCTTCGTGTTGCTTCCGTGCGGGCTTCTAGGGGCTATATATATATATATATATATATATATATATATATTATGTATTATATTATATTATATATATATATATAGGTTTCGTAAGGTTTTGCATGTTCGTTGACATGCGCGAGTTCTGAATTTGGGGGAGGGGAGGTACCCACAACAAGGATTTGTTTCTTAGGGTCAACCTCCCGTATCAGTTCAAGGATGCTTTTTAAGGTTTAGGGCTTAGGGTATTTTTAGAGACTGGCAGACAGAAGAACAGTACAGTGACGATGGCTAGCGACCAAAAGTCAGTAATTAGGACTGAAGAGACAAGCAGAGGACAGGTGACAGACGCCGGCTCGTAGTTGACGAGCTCCACATCGCGATGTCATGCTGCATCGCTACGTATACAATAATATGTATCTTGGGCTTACACACCTCATACAAGCCATTTTATTGCTAAGTACTACCCATTACATTGCTAGTCTGATATTCTCGTCGCGCATGGTTGTAAAGCATGCGTCGAAGGTGATTAGCATCATGGTCATGGTCATCAGTTTGCATTCTCTTAGTTCTGCTATGGGCTTCAAAGGTCTGGGTATAGGGTGTGTGGCCTGGAACGGACGCGCAGTGCTGCAGGTTCAACTGCCGGTGCGACTGGTGGAACTGGAGCATGATCCAGCCTCAGTTCTGCGCGCTATGTTGGGGGTTTGGAGAGTTGGAGATCCACTTAGCTGTCCTTCTATTCAGGATGCTCAAACTCAGGTGTCTATAACACTTCACTGCACGTACGACTTCCCTGAATTCCAGTTGGTCTATATTGCGGGGCACCTACTGTATGAAACTGGAAAATGCGCGCGAGAGCAGTTGGCATGTGTGGACCTCCCAAAGTCCGGAAGGCCACACCCAATATCCAACCAGTCAAGCCTCGAAGACTCTAAGCCCAAAGCCAGAAACGAACAACAGCGATGTAACACTTTCTAAGCCACCTTATTGTGCAGCAACCTTGTAGCAACATTGGTATTAGAAGCTTTGTGCGAGCCTTATAGCAGCCATTAGCTTTAACACAACCCCAAATGGAAGAACCATCCTGCGATCTCCTTCAAAGCATGGAGCAAAGGGCTTAAGGGTATAGGGTTTTGAGGTCTTGGGGTTTTTGAGGTTTGGGGGTTGGGGGTTTAGGGTGTAGGGTGTAGGACTTAGGGGTATCTCGTTCCTGACGGTAGGCACGTGCAGTTGAATAGAGGGTAG